AGACTGGCCCCAAACTCACAGAGATCCACCTGGCTCTGCCTCCCAAATGCTGGGATTAAAGGTGTGTGCCACCGCAGCCTAGCTCAAAATATACAATCTTTTGGGAATAAGTTTTGAAACTTGTAATAGAGAAGTAACCAGACTAACATGGCATTTTGATTATACATTCCTGTGTGTGATTTATAGACTAGAAGCCAAATAAACAGATAAATAAGTAAATAAATAAACAAATAAAGGAAAAAGGAGAGAAATGCAGCGGGTCTTGATTAAACTGCCCCAGCATCGTGTGTTAGGGCTAAGTTTCCCTCTCGCTCAGGCAGAGGCCAGGCTCTGTTTCATCTCGACTCCTGGTCCAGCTGCTCAGGCTGCTCTAGGTCTGCACACCCACCAGTGTGTTGCTCAGCAGCGGCAGAGGTTAGGAAAGCCGTTCTTTCCAGGCAGGCAAGCCAACTGCTCTTTTATTCTGCTGTGTAGGTTGTGAGATCCCAGAAACTCAGAAATGCCCCCAAGCCACTTACAGAAGGCTTTGGAGCAGGTGACTTGTTGCCATCTGGTGATTTAGTTAGCCATTCATTGATCCGGCTGGAAACTCCCACCTTCAGGCCAGCGGTTTCCTGCAAAAATAAAATAAAATAAAATAAAATAAAGCCAGTCATTGCAAATACTAAAGAAAAAAAGTACATTTACCTAGGAAGTCCTCCGAGCGACTTCAAGGTATCCTTAAATCTGCAGTGGTTGATTAGCAACCTGATTGAGGGAGTAACTAGAGAAGATGAGGAAGACACTCGCTGCCCCACCTCCGGATGTGGAGAAGCACTGCTTTGCCTGTGTGCCTCACGGCTTGCGGGGGGATACATCTTTCCGGTGGTTTAGGTAGCCAGCCTTCCTTCGCTGACATAAGAACCCAGTTTTTCACGCTTCCAATGTGGACTAAAGCCCAGTAGCTTTCCAGGCATCCCCCAGGCCTTCATCGCCAGATTGGGACTGCCGAGGCACCCAGTACTGTGGGCTAAACAGCCATCTTCAGTGGGTGCTCAGCCTCTCCAGCGTGCAGCCAGCCATGGTTGACCCAGCCTCCACCACATAAGTCAATTTACAATAATGTATAGTTATTGTATTGATTCTATCCCTTTGGAAAGAATATTAGGGGGCTGGAAAGGTGGCTCAGTGGTTAAGAGCACTGGCTGCATTTCCAGAGGACCTGGGTTCAATCCCCAACACCCACATGGTGGCTCCCAACCATTTGTAACTCCACTTCCAGAGCATCCTATGCTCTCTTCTGACCTCTGCAGGCACCTGGCATGCACACAGTGCACACAGCGCACAGACATACACACAGGCAAAACACCCATACACATAAAATAAATCTTTAAAAAAGAGGCGTATCAGTTTTTCTTCCATGTCCCCTCATCCCATCCCAACCCTAAAAGCTGATAATTAAAGGCAAGCATTTCATTTAGTGGTCCATGCCACAGCTGAGTACACAGGCTAGCCCCATGAATACATTCTCTATGGGCTTGCTTTATTTTGCCTTTTTTTTTTTCAAATCAAAGTGCTGATTGTCCATTCTTGATTGCATTTGTTGTGAACGAAGGCTATTCCTAATACAAATGGAGGAAAAATCTACTTTTCAAAACTGAGGATGATGAGAGCCACACTCATACCTTATTTGGTGTTCCCGAGGCAGAGGGGGATGAAAACACGTTTCCTCTCTCCCACATGCTCTTGATATTGCGGACACCTTCAGCAGGAACAGGAAGATCTGATGCTGCAGGCTTAGCAGGTTTTGAAGCTTTTGTTCCCTGAAATGTGGAAATAAGTTTTAATACAGCGTTAAGAAGCTTGTCCTCATAAAATCACAGCGAGCTGATCTCACTCTACACAATCAACTAAAAATGCCATGGTGTAAACGTCATCGAAAGGGATTCGTAGTGTCTGTTGTACAACTCCATTTTGATGATGTGATTCTCCACACATACCATCAGAGATGGAGAAGATGATCTTTCAGAAAATAAATATGCTTTTTAGGGCTCTAGTTATCATTAAGGTGACAGAGAACTCCATTTCTTCAGCAGATAGTTTTTTTTTGGTGTTTTTTTTTTTTAATGTGCATGCATGTTTGCATGTTTGTGTGTGTATGTGTGCATGCATGTGGAGGCCAGAGGTGTGTGTGTGTGTGTGTGTGTGTGTGTGTGTGTGTGTGTGTGTGTGTGTGTGTGTGTGTGTGTGTGTGTGCAGGAGACCCAAGTCTTAAACTCAGGTGCTGTTCCTTAGAAGCCATCCACTTTTTTTGAGGGGAGGGGTGGTTCATGGATTCAGCTAGTCTGCCTGGCCGGCGACACCCAAGAATCCACTTGTATCTGCCCCCTTAGCACTGGATTGCGTGTGTGCAGCCATGCCTAGCTTTTTCATGTGGGTCCTAGGGCTCAAACTTAGGCTCTTTTGCTTGTGCAGTTGCTGCCTAAGGTAGTCTGCTCTGTTTTATTTTTAAATGTGTATGTGTGTGTGTGGTGTGCATGTGTGTGTGTGTGTGTGTGTGTGTGTGTATGTGTGTGTGCGGTGTGCATGTGGAAACCAGGGGTGATGTCCAGTGTCTTCCTTGATTGCTCTCCACTTTATACACTGAGGCAAGGTCTCTCACTGAACCTGGAGGCCACTGATTCTGCTGCTCTAGCTAAGCAGCTTGCTCCAGGGTCCCTGTGTCTGCTTCCCAAACGCAGACTGCCATGCCTCCAGCTTTTAGATGGGTGCTGGGGGTCTGAACTCCAGCCTTCAGATTACAAGGCAAGTCCCACATGATTACACAACCTGCTGAGCCATCACCCAGCAGATAGGTTTTTAGCACCTACTATGTGAACGTTGGTAGAGTTTGTCAAAGCCAGCCAGTTTGTTCCATAAGCCACAGTAAGCTTATATTTTGATAGGCTAAGTGACAGTAGCCAGTATATTAACTAGCACTTATTTTGCATTGTAGTAAACACTATGAAAATAATGGATTGCAGTATAGCCCTAGAAGAGAGCACCTAACAGGAGAATGGTATTTAGTTTGGGGACATCAGTCAGGCTAAGGATACTCTGAGGAAGTAAGATTTATAACCAGATTCTACTGGAGACTCAGAAGTGGGAAAGGGAATAGGAAGGGTCTTCATTCTATGGAGAAAAACAGCATGTGCAGATGCCCTGAAGTGGGGAAGTTCTTCAAGGCTGAAAGGCCAAGGCAGGACAGCATGGAGAATACACTGGAAGGGACAAAGGATACACACAAGAAGGGGGTGTCTCTGAGAAACTTTCCCGCAGTCAACAAAGACAAGCCCAGATGGCACAAGTTTCTCCATCAGTCCTGATCTGTAGCCAGTAGTTTGGCAGGGATGAGTAACATCTTCAGCAGCCATAAGAAAATGACCTTACACATCTGTGCCAAGTCTGAGGTCACCGTCCTACCTTCATTTGTCAGTGCCAGGACCAACCCCAACCAGAGAAATGAGTTGTCTATAGTTTGTCATATTTTAGTGGACACCAATCTTGTGAATAAAAATCACATCTTGGGTGTTAGTACTTCAGTAAGTGCTTGATAAATCATAAGACCCCTCTCTCAACCTCTCTTCCCATTTGTGAGCTACTTTATAGGCATCTCTGCCCTGGGTACAAAGGAGAGGCAAAGAAGCAAATGAATCCAAGCCAGTCACTTCACTGAGGATGCTCGATACAGGTTAAAACCATCACTCAAGGCCATGCAAAGACCAGCCCAGCATCACATCTTGATCAGTGATGCCACTCTTTCAGCTTCTGATGAGAAAGATACATTATTTCCAAACATCATCAAATTCCCAGGTCAACTGAATAGAAAACAGAATTCATAGAAGCATAAAACTATGACCTTTTAAATACTAACCAACCAAGTAAAATGGATGATGATTAAACACAAGTTGGCTCTCATCTTGATGTTATTTCAAGCTACTATATTTATTAATAGGTTTCTGCAAAGAAAATTCAAGATGTACTTGTGACTACTTGTGATGTATACATCCATCAATCTATTCACTAGTGACTAGAGGAAAAAAGGCTTAGTGATTTAGAACACTTGCTGCTCTTGCAGAGGACCCAGGTTCAGTTCCCAGCATCTACATGGTGGCTCACAACTATAATTCCAGTTCCAGGGGTGCACATATAGACATGCAGGCAAAACATTCATATACATAAAATTAAAAAATCTAAAAGAAAACCTATTTATTGAATCCATTCACTTCAAAGAAAATGTAGACTATAAGTGTTAAAAACAATCTACCCAAGAGTCCCTAATGCATCTTTCTTACTGTGTTTCTCCACAGCTAGTTCATAGTTGTGGAGATCATTATTAATATTGTAATATTATCAGGGTGCCAGACTCATTCATCACCCTGAGTGTTCCTGTACCCACATATGTAATCACAGCCTGTTTCCATTTTACAGGACTGTGCCCAGGGAACAGCACTCACCTCAATTGCATTGGTATACTGCTCCAGCCTGCTGTCAATCTTGGAGACTACTGCTGCTTGATGAGTAGATTTGACACCACTGCCAAATAAGCACAGACATGAAAATAAGAGACAAAAGACATCTCTCCATGTGTGTGACAGCTGATGAGTCTCAACGGAACAGTCAATTGTATTTACCTTTTCTGCACAGACTTATTCAAAAATTCTGCTCGTTCCTCTATCTAGAAATAGAAAAGAAGAAGCCTTGTGAATATGCAGAGGGAACAGTATGTGCCAAAGTCCTAACAGTGGGAAGCTCTGAAGCCTTATAGAATGAGACATGGCTAAATGGAGACTACACCGATGTGCCTTTGAAAAAGCTTCAGAACACTCCTGGAAGGCAAGGCGTGCCCAGAATGGCCCAAGTTTCTCCTTTGGTCCTGCTCTGTGGCCTGTAGCTTATTCACAGTGCCCTTCAACTACACCACTATCATTCCTGAACCTAGTAAATCAAAACACCACAGAGCATGTGAGGGCATTACATTGACGGCGGGCACAGCACCCAGAAGGGGAGAAAACTAGGAATAATGTATTTGACACTGGGGAAGAAAGAATAGGATTGGAAGAGGATAAAGAATGCAGAGACAGGGGTTGGGGGGAGACATTAAGTTTTGGAAGCAAGAAACAGCTAGTAAGATGGTCTTACATAATATAGACCAATGACAAACTTCATATACTTAAATCCAAATCTCCTGTGATGGCATTTGGAATGGGTCCTTTGCAAGGTAATTGTGTCAGGAGGGTAGAGTCCTCATGAATGGCTTTAGCATACTGATTAAAAAGACAAGAGAGCTTGCCTATTGTCTAGTCTCTGTCACCTGAGGAGACAGCAAGAATGTGCCCATTTGTGGAGGAGGAGGAGGAGGAAGAGGAGGAGGAAAACCCTTTCCAGAATCAGCAGAGCTGACATACTGATGACCTTGCACTTCCCAGTCTCCAAAATTGTAGAAAACAAATGTTTTTTTTTTTTTTGGTTTTTTCGAGACAGGGTTTCTCTGTGTAGCTTTGTGCCTTTTCCTGGAGCTCACTTGGTAGCCCAGGCTGGCCTCGAACTCACAGAGATCCACCTGCCTCTGCCTCCCGAGTGCTGGGATTAAAGGTGTGCACCACCAACGCCCGGCGAAAACAAATGTTTACTCGGTTTAGCTGCTTGAGGTTTGTTTGTTTGTTTGTTTGTTTGAGACAATGTCTTACTATGTAGTGTAGGCTGTCTTTGAATGCCTGATTCTCTTGCCTCAGTGTCCTAAGTGCTGGATTGATGGGTAGGCATGTGCATCACACCCAGCAATGATAACTACCCAGTCTGTAGTAATCTGTTCTATTTATCCGGATTGATTTGAGAGAAGGGGGCACTGAAGTCCATCGACCTAGGGCAGGTTACTATAGTAGATTCCTGGACAGGGCAGGATTTGGAGCCTTTCAGCATGTGTGTTCCTTGGCAGACTAAGAGAACAAGAGGTCCTTTAAGGAGAATGCACATTTAGTATATTAGGAGAGCATATAAATAAAACATTTAAATGTCAGTGGTAGGTGCCATATTAAAGATGGGAACATGATGCTACATCCATAAGACGAAGTGGGGTGGGGTGGGGGAGAAGGCTTTTCAGAAGTTTTGATATTTGAACTGAGTTCTGTGGTTTACAATTTCTCGAGTGAACTTATGAAAGTGAGGGGAGGCACGCAGGAATTAGAGGGGATTTTTTTTTTTTTTAGTAACTCAAATACTTTACAGAGACTTAGGGTACGGAGGATGGCAGGAAGTACAGTGTAGTCAGTACAGAGCAGAGCTGAGGCTTGTGTTTTGTGTGGGGCTCTGGCAGCATCTTAGTGACGCGAGTCATCCTGCCGTCACACCAACTCAAGCCGCAGGCCCTGTCACACTCCCCTTCCTCCAGAAGAGTCAATCCAGCTTGACTTCATTTTCTAATTTTGTGAGGACTCACCCTCCATTTACTGACTCTCGCTGGGAAATACCTTAACAGTCTGCTCTAACTAATCAGTTCGTGGGGAGTTTATGAATTAAACACTGTACAATACTTAAGGAATTTAAGGAGGGATGTTGGTGCCCTTGATGACCAGGAGCTAGCAGTACTGTCTCAACAGACTTAAGGAAGAGAGAATACTGCTAGTTTTAGATATTAGTTTGTGTATTTTCTTTACTTCACACTCCACTTCTCCATCAATAAACTCAAACACAAACAACATCAAAGACCTCTAGATTTAATCTACTTAACATTTATTCTTTGCGTATGTTATCATTCATTGCTACCATACTCAAGCAATGAGAACTCATGTTTAGAATTTCCCAGACAGTGGAAATCATAAGTGATACAAAAATATACCATTCGGTATTATTTTGAGGTTAAAATTCAAACGTTCCCCTCCCATTGGCATTATACAGTACCACCTATGTTAGAACAGTTACAACCAAAGCTGTGGTCTAGAGAGCATGGCTATCTATTGGGTTCCATTACAAGATAAGCTGCATTCAGGAAAATCCCAGGCAGTTCCTTAAGGAGCATGCCATCGAGACAAGTGGCACATAGTGTATTCCTACATGCTCATCTCTATTATGTAGAAATTAAAAACGTTCTGGTCCTTTCTATGCATTGACTTTAAATGACTGTTGACATGTGCAGTTCCATGAGAGAGAACACAGAAAGGGGCTTCCTAAGAAGTTTGGATGGAAAGAATGTAGCTGAAGGATAGACATGAGAAACGAGGACACCGAGGGGCTTGGTAGAAAGGAGATGATTAAAGAGTGAAAAGGGGAGGAAGCCCAGTCTCTCCAGAAGTCAGAGTAGATAGGATCGAGAAGTCTCAGTGACTGCTCTCTTGTTATCAGGACTGTTCGAGGAAGGCTCAACTTGGGAGAGATGTTAAGAAAGGAAGAGAGAACATTGTTTTCTTTATTTGTTGATCCAGGAACAAGAGAGCAGACCTGGGGACAGGCTGCACCCTGTGACTGCTCAGAGATAAGCAGAGTGGAGGGAGGGTTCTTCTGTTATTGATCAGTGATTCTCAAGCCACGGTCGAGACTGGGTTTGCCATGAAGCTCCCAAACAATCAAAGGAAAACATTTTTTTTTTATTGTTTTGCATTTGTTTTGTTGAGACAGGGTTTTTCTCTGTACCTCAGGTTGACTTGGAACTCACTAGGCAGGTAGTCCAGGCTGGCCATAAACTGATGATCCCCTTGCGTTAGTCTCCCAGTGCTGGGATCATAGGAGTGTGTTGCCATGTCCAGCCTTAAGCACTCTTTTTGAGGTTTTTTTTTAAAATTATATATGTATGGGTGTTTTGCATGCATGTATGTATGTCTGCATGCATTGCCCATGGAGGCCAGAAGAGGTGTTAGGCTCTCCGGAACTGGAGTTACTGAGTGGGTGCTGGGACCCAGATCCTCTGCAAGAGCAACAAGTATTCTTAACTCCTGGCCATCTCTCCAGTCCCCACTTTTAACAAAAATTTACATTATTAAGAGGTTGAAAAACTATTTCATGACATAAAACAATTAGATAAAATTCAAATTTCAGTGTTCAGAGATGGAGCTGGCTTACTGGAGGCCTTGTGCTGTGCTCCGAGGGCTCACTGGCTTGGATGTTGTTCCCTTTGTGAGTCCTGAGTCATTTCTGTGAGGCAGTCAACTAGATTCCCATCAAGGGGCAGCAACCTCATTTTGTGCGTTTCTTTTTCACAGTATGCAGCATGGATTAGTTATGTTATAAATATCAGATATTAAAAAATAAATTCGTACTCTGGCTTAGATTGGTGTGCTGGCTAGTTGTGTGTCAACTTGACACAAGCTATAGTATAGTCATCTGGGAGGAAGGAGCCTCAGTTGAGAAAATACCTCCACATAAGATCAGGCTGTAGGCAAGCCTGTAGGACATTTTCCTAACTAGTGACTGATGTGGGAGGGCCCAGCCCATTGTGAGTGCGCCATCCCTGGGCTGGTGACCCTGGGTTCTATAAGAAAGCAAACTAAGTAAACCATGAGGAGCAAGCTGGTAAGCAGCATCCCTTCATGGCCTCTGCATCAGCTCCTGCCTCCAGGTTCCTGCCCTGTTTGAGCTCCTGTCCTGACTTTCTGCAATGAAGAACAACGATGTAGAAGTATGAGCCAAATGGATTTTTGTTAAGTGTAGGTCTTGGATTTTCCCATAGTAGATCCTAAGATGAGTGTCCAAATACAAAAGTCACAGATTTCCATGCAACAAGGATACCTTCTGAGAAACACATTGTCCATTGGGTGATTTCACTGTGTGAGCATCATGCTTTATTCCTACTTATAGAAACTAAGACACCTACAATGTCATTATGTACCAGTATTGTGCATATGGTCTGTGATTAACCAAATATTACCCAATTCACAATGGTACTTTGGGAAGTATCAGAATTGCAACCAAGCTGGGCATGGTGGTACATGCCTTTAATTCTAGCACCTAGGAGGCAGAGGCAGGTGGGTTTCTGTGAATTTGAGACCAGCCTGCTCTACATAACAAGTTATAGGACAGCCAGGGCTACATAGTGAGGCAATGTCTCCAAAGGAACAAACCAACCTGTGACTAGCATCCACATCATCATAAAAACTAAGTGAAATTATTTGAATTCTGAGGGCTGCTAAACAATTCATCTGGTAAAGTATGTGTCCCAGAATCCTGAGGACCTCAGTTCAAACCCCAGGTCCCAATGTAAAAGGCCAGCTGAGGTTGCATTTGTTTATAATTACAGCTCTGGGAACCTGGAGACAGGCAATTCTAGGCTAAGAGGAGAACCTGACTCAAAAAAATAAAGATGGATGGCTTCTGAGGAACAACACTTGAGTTTACCTCTGGCCTCTACAGGTATGTACATTCATGCATACATGTCCCCTCACACATGTGTACCCTCACATACACATAAAAACCATTCTGACAAAGAGGCCATAAATGTAAAGTGGAGGGACTGGCTTTTGTTCACTTTCATACACCCATGTACATGTAGCCATGGGGGCCTCGTTGAGACTCAACACTGGCTTTGTCCATTATTGATGGTTGTAGTCTAGTTAGGCTAATGGTAGGTGAAGACAGGATAGGAATGTTAAAGGTTCGCTGAGGCTTCACTCACTCACTCAGTATTCATCTGCAAATATTTCTCAAATATCTTCAGTACATAAGGTAGTGAGTGTACTGGGCGTTCAAAGCCAAGGAGAGACTTGGTAATAAATGACCGATGGAGTCTGTTGCCTTTCCCCCCACGTCTCAACCACTCCATGGTCTCCCTGGCCTCAGCTCCTTTTGCTCCTCCTCTCTTCTCTGGACAAGAACTTCTGTCCTAAGAGGCTGTTCCATGAAGGCGGTAGTAAGACCTACCTCTCCTGGAAAAAGGACCCTATCCACGTTGCAGCTCATCTCCTACAGTAAGAGCTTTGCAGTTTGCACTGGACTAATTCCAGTTGTGCTTTTAGAAATCACAACATTAACATGAGAAGCATCTGAAAGAGTCAGTGGTCAAATGTCTGTAGCCCTCTAAAATTCATATAGTGCTATCCAGTCCCCAAAGTGTTCTATAAAAGGGTAGACTCCTCCTGAATGGGGTTAGTACACTTCGTAAAGAGGCCAGAGGGAGCTTGCTGGCCCCTTATTTTCCCTTCCACTGTATGAGAAGAGCAAGAAAGTGGCGTCATCTACAAAGAACCAGATACTGAATTTGCTAGTGCCTTGATCTTGGACTTTTCAGCCTTTAGAACTGTGGGCAATACATTTCTGTTACTTATAAGTTACCAAGTCAAAAAGATGTTTTGATATAGTAGCCTGAACAGATTAACATAGGACAGCAAAGAGTTAAATGAAGCAAAGGAAGTCTTGGATGGTCAAAAAACAAAGGGGCTCCAATCACATTACTATGATACCAGAAGAGAAGTTTAATAAGAATTTTAATAAGGACAAACATACCTTGAGAGATGAGCCTTTAGGAGTGAAACACTTGAACGGCTTCTTGTCCTCGGACAAGCCATCTTCCGGCATCTTCTGGCGTTTCTCAGCAGCTTCTGCCCTTCTCTTTTCAATCTCTTCCTTTAGCCTCCTCTTCTCTTCCTGAGACAGACAGAGCAAATAGCAACACATCACCATCTGCTTCTAGTGCTGTGGGCGCAAGAGCAGCAATCAGAGGCGGCTTAACTCTACCATGGATATTATCCAATCTTCTGGGGTGCTCAGAAGAGAGTAACCCTGAGCACTGGAGTCCACTGGCTGGGTTTGCACTCTGGAGGGGTACTTTCCATCAGTGTGACCTTAATCTTACTTACTACCTGCCTCCGTTTCCTCATTTATAAAACAGAACCACAAGCAATCACCTAAGTTCATGACACCTAATTTAGAAAAATTGTGTGAAATGTTTAGACGGCCATCCTGCTGGACAAGTCTCCTTTAAAGGTGATATGTTACCATCTTGTAAGTCACTTAACAAAACCTTCCACTTTGGAATATGTAAATGAATATTAAGGCTCCCCCTGCCTGTTTCCAGCAAGGGTGGTCAAGATGGAAGGAATCCTTTGTGTTACTGTCCTGATATCCCTTGTAAGCAATCAATGTCGCATGACAGTTCCTGCTTTTTGAGTGCCTATGATGTGTCAGCTACTGTGAATACAGCCATCTACTTAGTCATAAAAAAAAAAAAATCCTGCAAAATAGATACTATTTCACAGACAAGGAAAATAAGACAGGGTAGCTCAGGGTGTCCCAAGCTCCCAGCTTGTCAGTGGCAGAGTTGGGACACAATTCCAGGTCTGTCAGCTTACAAACTTCTGTCACGGTCACTTTTCAGTTAGAGGTCATGGCCTCATTGGAAGTGGGAGTTGGAAGAGACATTGGAATAATTCATCCAAACTTTCCATACAACTTAGGGAAACTGTACACCATCCATTTCAGAAAAAGAAAGAGTGAAAATCTTGTCACATATTTGGAGGGAATAGGAGGCCTGCAAAGTTCTAGCCTCAGGAGTTGGAAAAGCAGAGTCCTCACACTTATCCCATCACTTATCCATCAAACATCTTCAACCAAGTCACTCTAACTATTTGGTTCCTGGTTTCTTTCCCCGTAAAGTAAGAACGTATCCTAGGATGAAAGGAAAGATGCACTTTATAAACCGTAGTGATCTACGTTGTAGCTGACCTAGCTGGTTTTTCATGTGCTGAGGTCATTTCCCCCCTTGTAACCCGATCTGTTCTGTGTTAAGAATGAGACAAATGCTTTTGCCAGCAGTGGCAGGGCTCTGGTGGTCCAGCAAGCCACTGTTGGTCCTGGGATACCGTAGCGAACAAAGCAGATACCGTCCCAGCCTCTGTACATTCTAATCTGCTTGGAGAAACTTGAGGGCCAGGGAGATGGCCCAGCAGATAAAGGTGCTTGTGGTAGAAGCCTGGAGACCTGAGACTGATCCTTGGAACCCATGTAAAATGTGCAAGGAGAGACTCAACTCCACAAAGTTGTGCTCTGACCACCACATACATGCATGCATATCACACACACACACACACACACACACACACACACACACACACACACACACACCAGCAATAATAATCTATAAACATCTCTACAAAGACTCTCCGAATATTAGATATCATGCAAGAGCTATGTTTTCTTTCCTTTCTCTTTTTGTTGTATTTTGTTGGCAGGCAGAATTTCTCTGTATAACCAGGGCTGGATTGGAACTTACTATAGACCCCAGACCGGCCTTGAACTCAACATTCTACTCTCTCAGCCTTCCAGTGCTAGGATTCCAGGCATGAAGCCACCCACCCACTCTGCTTCCCAGCTTGGTTCTGTGACAGGTGGCAAACCTTTCGTCTCTCTCAGATTCCCCACTGTTCCTCATTGAGAGACTCTCTTATAGGACAAGAGGCCCAGTGGGACAAGTATACACACTCCTCTGTGCTTCAGTTTCTTCATCTGGAAAATGGGGACACAAGTATTCGGGGTTCAGAAACGTGCCAGTTTACCATCATAATAAATGACTGTTATTATTACTGTGAGACAGGGTCTCCTATAATCTAGGCTAGCCTTGAACTTGATATGGAGTGAAGGAGAATGACCTGGAACTTCTGATTCTTCTCCACCTCCTGAGGGCTAGGATTACAGGGGTGCTCCACCACTTGGGCATATGTACTGCTGTGGGTTGAATCTAGGGCCTTGTGCATGCTGAGCGAGCACTCTACTGACTGAGCTACCAGGCTGGTTGTTGATACACTATATGTTCAAGAGTGTACACTCAGAGGAGCGGCAGGGGACTTGAAGGGACTGTTCCTCTCTGAGTTACAAGGTCATGGAACATGCACTTAAGGACTTGGGGACATCCAGGTTTCCCCTGGCTGGGCCAGGCAGCCCTCACCTCCTCTCTAGCTTTGCGGTCAGCTTCCTCCTGCTTCCTTTTCTGCTCCTCTTCCTCCAGGACCTTCCTTCTCTCCTCCCTCTTTTTCTTCAGCTCTTCCAGCTCCAAGGCCGCCTCCTGTTGTTTCTGTTTGAGTTTTTCAAACTCTTCGCTCTCCGTCTCCCCGCGGCGCCTGCGCAGCTCCTCCAGCCGCTTGCCAGCTTCCACCTGTGGGGCACCTTCAGCTTCCTTGTCCCCACCGGCCCGGCCTCCTGGGCGGCTGGGGCTGAGGCAGGAGAAAAGGCAAGGTAGTTACCTGGTTCTGTCTTGCAGCCCCCGTTCGAGGGAGGGGGATGTCTGTCTGCAGGCGCTATACCCAGGTACCTGATCCTCACACCAGCCCTGGGGCTGGTTGGGGATCTACATGGAATATAAGGACTTCATGAGAGCCTCTACTAGGGCAAGGTAAAAATGGTGCAGCACCTAGTGTGGGGAAAACATCACAGTCCTGTGCAGTCCTGAAAATAATGATATTGTATATATGATCTGGACAGACCACTTGACACACACTCCAAAGAATTGAAAGCAAGGTCTTGAGGTGGTGGGACACCTACATTCATAACATTATCCGCAAGAGCCAGGAGGTGGGAGCAATCTGAGTCCATTGTGGGATGAATGAATTAGCATAATGTGGTATATCCACACCATGGATATACTACTATTCAGCCTTCAAAAGAAATACCAACACATGTGGATAAACTTGAAGCTATTACGTTAAATGAGACAAGCCAGTTATAAAAAGACAAACACCTCAAAATTCTACTTGTATAAGGAGTCTATGGTAATATCAAATTCATAGAAACAGAAAAGGAATGGTGGTCCTCTGGGGTGTAGAGGTGGCCAAGGAGGAGCTCTGTGACTGGAATCCCAGTTCTACAGGATGAAATGACTGTGGAGCTCTGTTGAGGATGTTGAGAATACAGTTAGCACTACCAAACTGTAGGGGTTTTGTTTGTTCGCTTGTTTTTTGAGACAGGATCTCTCTACAGCTGGCCTCTAGCTCAAGCTCATAATTCTTCTACCTCAGCCTCCTAAATGCTGGATTACAGCTGTTTACCACTATTTGGGCCCTATTGTTTCTTGGATGAGTTAAACCCAATAAGGTATGTCTGTTTTGATAGAGCCTCTGGGAAATTTTTCTTATTCAAAATATGTATTTCTACCCTCTCTGACCCCAACACAACTGGAGTATCCTTTGTCAGGATTTAAAACTCTAAATTATTACAGATGTGGTGTGATGAGGGTGGTTACTGAAGATCAAAGGGGTCATTCATTATATCTTATGAATGTTTTCAAATGTATTATCTCATTAAATAGTCATGATAACTGGGGAGGTGTTGGTATTCATAAAATTCTTATCTTATGAGTAAAGTGAGAGAGAATAAACACTTTGTCCAAACTGTAGAAAGTGGTTGAGGGCTGGGATGTGGCTCACTCAGTAAAGTGTTTGCCACACAAACATGGGGACCTGAGTTCAACCCCCAGAACCCATGAGCTGGGCATGATGAGAAGCAGAGACAGGCAGCCAGCTTGGAAAACCAGCCCCGCTTACTCCAGATCAGTGAGAGACCCTGCCTCAAAACCAAGATGGATGCCCAATGAGGAACAACAGAGTATACTCTGTTTCACTAGTGACATCACACAAGTGGATCCTCCCAGAACTGGACTGGGGGAGAATTTAGTGGTGTTCTTCTTGAAGGTCTTGATACAGGGAGCCTTTCGCTTAGAGACAGAGATGTAGAGTAGCTTCTGTTTAAATACTTATGAACACACAGTGAGGTCATTACTAACTAGATCCAGGCACAGGAATCCCACGCCTGACACCTTTGTCTCAGGAACAATGAATCACACTGTTTAATATTTATTCTGTGTAATGGATGGCACAATGCTTCCAGCTATGGAGTAAGAGGATGAAGGAAACAAGGAGTGACTGAGGAAATGCAGTGCACAATACTGATCTTCTTTCTTTTCTTTTCTTTTTCTTTTCTTTTTTTTTTTTTTTTTTTTTTTTTTTTTTTTCGAGACAGGGTTTCTCTGTATAATTTTGGTGCCTGTCCTGGATCTTGCTCTGTAGACCAGGCTGGCCCCGAACTCACAGAGATCCACCGGGCTCTGCCTCTCCAGTGCTGGGATTAAAGGCATGTGCCACGGCCGCCTGGCTGACTGATCTTATTTCATATACCTTATGCTTTTGAACACGGAAGTAGTTCAGAACATACTGTTTCCTCTAGGACAAAGTTTTCAGGCTTTAGGTTAAAAAATAAAATCAATTTAGTAAATTGGTCTCAACATTTTAAAAAGTGAAAGAGAAAACATCGAAGTGCATTGTGTAGAGGTAAAGACAGCACCATGTTTTGAAACAACTTATTTTAGCTATAAACATGTATGTTGGGGGGGGTATGATATCAAATTTGTTACTGCGGGCTGAGATAATAAAGTATAACAGGTTCTTGATGGTTAAAGATGAACTCTCATCTTGAACTCAAACAAGGTGAAAGGGTTTCTTACAGCCTTACATTGCTCTTTCAGTGTTACAGAGTCACAAGCTTCTGACTCCTCTCTCAGGAAGGTCTTTGCATTTTTGGAAACTGGTTTATTCTCTCGGATCTTGTGGTGTGCCTGAGAAGACGCTGGCCTATGGAATCTTCTCTGGGTTCCACTAGGTGTCGCTCAGTCTTTATTTTGTGTCATCAAAGTGCCGGTTGGTGGCGAGGCTCTGGTTCAACAGTCATCTTGCAGAGCATGCGCTCACATCACTAAGTGCAAACTTAGATTGACTGGCACAGAAAGCTGGTTCTGTAGCACTGTCTGTCATTCATGGTACCAGACCCATTTAAAATACACCTTTCTGATTGCATTCACTCATATGCATAGTGTACGATCCCGTGTGTGTGTGTGTGTGTGTGTGTGTGTGTGTGTGTGTGTGTGTGTGTGTGTGTATCTCAACTATTGTAAACATAGAGGAATGTCTGGGATAAATGTTACTGGTGGCTGAATTTAAAAAAAAAGATTCTAATCTTAAAAATGAAGAATCAAGTCAACTTTCACCAAAACGGGAGTAAGACCTTGGCTATACTGCCTCTGCCTAAACATGCTGACAGGCTTGTAGCACCAGGGTGGTATATGGGAATACCTTCCAGAAAGTTCTGTCTTGTCTTTGGCTTTTTTGGGTTTAAGGAAAATCAGATACCAGGTTTTTGCCCATGAAGAACACAGCTTGCTTTTTAGCTCAGCTGGTAAATAAGCATTTAGCTAGAGACTCTTACTGTATTCCTCACTGTGTGAGTATATGGAGTATCATTCTCTGCTTGTATGGGTATCAACTCCTAGCAGACACTGACAAAAACAAATTACATTGTAGTAACCTATTTCTCTCTCTCTCCTCTCTCATATATATATATATATATATATATATATATATATATATATATATATCAATGTGTATGTGTGTGTATATCTAAATTGGTAAATGAAGGCAAATTTACATAGAGGGCTCTTAAAGTCCTATGGTAAAGGGCTGTGATTTGGTTTAACCTAATGTGCCCCAAGTTTTTGGACCACAGAATAATCTGAGCTTCACAAAACACTTATTTACAACCTTTACCATAATGAACTCTTAAAAATGGTACTGAGAAAGATTTGTAGAAAGTTGTCTGGACTACCTAAAGCATGAACCACTGGTATTAATCTCAGTCATAATATTTCTTATTATACTGATACAATATGAGCATATTGTCAAAACATGAAGACTAAGCATTATATGCCTTGCTATTGAAAAAAGAAGAAGAACTAGAAGAGGATTAAGCTATGGTTGAGCAATGATTGCTGGTCTGTTAGTGACAGGGAGACAAGATTTGCTGACTTTGTATCTTTAAGACAATGGGAAGAATGTTGCCTGGTCAGATCCTTTCTGTCTGGAGGCGCAGGACAAAGAGACCCAGTCTCCCTCCCACATATGGGGAGACAGCGACTGTTAAATAGTCACAACTTACCTGAAAGCATTCTCGGTTTGTTTAAGTTTGTGAGTCATGAATTCTCCATTCTGCGCCTTCACTTCAGTAAATCCTTTCTTTCTATCCAAGAAGCTCTTGACTTCTTCTTTGGGTTCTTTGTCCTTTTTAATCTTCTCATCTTTGATCTAACCAAGGATACATATCAGGAAGATAAATAACTATAAACATCTTACTAGGTTTGGGCAGGTTATTACCAACACCCCAACTTTTAAAGAAATCTTTGGACTTGACGCAGAGCAACCATCCAGAACATGATATAGAAAGGAAATCAAGAACATTATTGGAGAGGAAGCCATGTTTCTTTGGCCTGTGAGCCAAAACCTGAACCTTAATTTTAGGAAGTCAAGAGCTATCACTGATCTCACTGGGGTTTTTATTTGGGGAAGCAGTATTGTTGTTAGTTTTGGAAACTATCAAGTTCTAGGATTTCCACCCAAGAATAGTTGCTTGCAGTTCTCACTAAGAAAAGTAATTTCAGGTGTGGTTTGGATGGAAGAGTGGCCGTGTAGCTTGGCCAAGTTTCTTCTTGGCTAAAAGGAGTATCTTTGATAAGGGCTCAATAAGGAGGAAATAAGGGAAAAGCCAGAAGGTGACACAGATCTGCCAATTCTGGGGCCTATGATCCAGGTATTTCAGTCAAATGATTGAGGGGACACAAAGAGGGAACACATAACCTACCTTTAGGGGAAGGACTTAGAACCATGCATGATTGAAGCCATGTAAACAGTCCCAGGGTGCATGTTGATTTCCACTGGAGGAAAGATTTAGACCTCCAGACATGGGTTTGTGATTGTTGTGTAACACAGAAGGGAAGGATATGCGGAGCAATTGGGAGCTTTAGTATTTTTATGTAACACAGAGGGGAAGGATATGTGGAGAGCAATTGGGAGCTTTAGTATTTTTATGTAACACAGAGGGGAAGGATATGTGGAGAGCAATTGGGAGCTTTAGTATTTTTATGTAACACAGAGTGGAAGGATATGTGGAGAGCAATTGGGAGCTTTAGCATTTTTGTGGGGGTTGTGTTGTGAAGTCCTCATGGCAGATGGAACAGATTATTTCAAAGTGGCTTCTGAGGTGGGCAAAGAGTTCACATTACTATCTCATCCATTCTTAAAATGTGAACAGGAGAAAGTGGTGTCCATTGTTCTTTTCAAGACAGTTGCAAAGAACTAGTGCTCTGCAGAAACACTTGGAAGAGAAAGGTAGACCATAAGAACGTAGGGATTCCTGACTGCCGAGAACTCTCTCCCTTTACTAACTGCTTTCCAGCGATTTTTGACACCCTCTGAATATTTACCCCTAAAAGGCATGTTTTACAAGGTAGAACGTGGTGTTACAGGTTACCTTTTATAGTCCTTTGCCTAATAATCTTCCTTAAACGGTACTAAATCACCCTGGGTGGACTATTCACTGACATTGCTCTAGTTACGACTTTGATTTTCCTCTAAGGTGGGGTATATCTGGGTGTCCCTTAGTAATGCTAAAGAGGGAACCTGTAATGTTGCTGCTATGTCCTCTCTGGGAGATTTGTCTGCAGCTAAGGAGAGTGTTCGAGTCTAGAGCTGTTTGCCACCCAGTTTCTCTGGGAAGCTCATCAAGACATAGCTGGATGAAATGATCCCTTTCCAAATCCCACCCTGTCATTGCCCTCTTGGCCCCTGATTGGGGTATGAGCAAAGAACAGGAAGCTCAGGGCCTGTATACCAGTGTGATCATAGCTGCTTGGCGGCTGTCCCTGCCTCCTAGAACACATCAGTATTCATTGAATAGGTAGGAAGAGACAGTATAGTTCCATTTTGGCCTGTCACTGCTGAATAGAGCCCCAGAAACCATGGGCTAGAGTTCACATCCTGGTTAATATCTGGGAATACACACACAGAGGTGAAGGGACCCATGTGATAAATTCTGAGTCAAATCTCATGGCTTATGGGGGCAACAACATAGATAAATTTCTTTTAACCCATTTCTTCTATTTTGCAGTCCAAAATACTTTAAAGTATTACCAGATTGCCTGACAAAAAAATTACTTCAAATAGATTTGTAAAAGAATGGATGTCTATCAGAAGAGCAGCCTCCCACCCCTGTTCCTCCAGGCTATGCCTCTGTTGGGAAGGGTTATGGTGGGTGGCCTACTCATGTTCTCAGTGGGAAACTTTCTTAGAAACATTCTTAATCTAATAATGACGGCTTGAGTTTGACTGAGAATTATTTTCTCCTGAGAAATGAATAAAACAGCTCTACAGGATCTTCAATTTTTAGTTTAAAGAATACAATGGATTAGATTCTTTGGCAAGGTCATGGCAAGCCCACAGCCTAGGAAAAGAACTAGATTTTTTAGGTTGCAGTGTTACCACAGAAAAAGATCTCCGCTAAAGGGTTACTCGGTGGTCATGAATGCTGAAAGAGTAAACATGCTTCATTCACAGGTAACATGGGTGTGCTTCTAAGACCGCCTCCAGACATTTTTTGGATGAGACTCCATACAGCTGGGCTACTTAGTGGGAGAAAACATGAGCATGTAGGGGTGCAGGTATTTACAAGGCATGGCCTTAAGCTAGACACAACCCCAAAGACCAAGGGAACAGGTGGACCTTCCTGAGCTAGGAGTCTCTGTCTTGCTCCTCTGCATGATAAAGTTCCAGAGGAGCAAGAACTGGGTATCAATTACAGGCTTTCCGACCACATTTAGCACATTTTTGTTAGCTTCAGACCCTAAATCCTCATCCGGCTTCCTGTTCCACACTATGGATGTTCTCCTGACTCTTTGCTCCTGAAATCTGGTTCCCAGACAACTCAAACCTTCAGCAGAGAGCTTAGACCCTGGCTTGGAGTAGTTGAATCATCTTTAACCAAATTGCAGGGTGCATCTGCGCACTAAGGTTCAAGACACATGGGCCTGGGTGATAGGAATATCAGGTTCAACAAAAAAACTCTCTGCTAGAAACGTTTTTTTTTTTTTTTCTTTTTTTTCCCTGTTAAAGGCCGAGGGAAAAACCTAATAGATACTGAGTAAAGAACTAAAAAGAGACAGCTTATAATTGAGGAGGAGAGACAGAAAAGTTAATGTTCAAGGTTGGAGAGCATCTGCACTCCAGGGCTGCCACAGAGTTCAACTGCAGTGGAGGAAGACAGGGGGTTGGTTTGTTTGTGTTTTAAAGCACTGGAGGGACTTTGGGAAATGTTTCCCCTGGAAGGTCAGTGGAATGTTTGTGTTTACTTGTGGTTGAACTATCCTGCTTATGCTGTGTGGATTCCTGCCAGGGAAGGTTTCTGTTTGCTTTTATGTGACCAAAAAAAAAAAAAAAGAAAGAAAGAAAGAAAAAGAAGGAAGGGGTTATTTAAAATGTGAATCTTGCAAAAAATGATTTAAAGTTGCCTATATAACACACCAGTCCAGCTAGTTGGGAAGGGGAAGCTCTATCCATAGACAGTAGTTTATCTATACAATATTAAAATTGATCTTCTGAAAAGCCTGGTTGGAAGAGATTATCTAGACGGGTGTAAAAATGAAGTCAGAAGTTATGAGAGCTGGAATGTGCTGTGGGGTAAACCAGGAAAGGGATAATGGCAGGTCTGAAACCAGCCATCCCCTGGAGTGTTGGACTGATACCATGGACTTTGCCTTATCTGAAAAGAGGCAGATGATGACTGAGGATGAGCCTCTTCTGACTCAGACACCATACACAGGCATGGGATGCTTTGGGCATTAAAAGTAAAATCATTATCTTGGCGAAATGAATTAACTTTCACACCACCAGAGGGTGTTTACTACGGCCTGCCCTTCCCCACATTTCACCAGAGTTGCGAATTTCACACCCTCTTCCCCTGTAGGAAGATGTTCCCGTGTGTTCAGCTGTCTCCTTAGCTGCCTGGTAGAGCTAAAGTCAGTTTCGGGGTCATCAGCATTTACACTCTCCCCCTCCTTTAGCTAGCCAGAGCTCATGTTCAAACCACCAGTTCTAATGGAAGCAGAGAGGAGCAAAAGTCTTTAAGTATAACATGCTGTATGAATGACAGGCTCTTCCTTCCTATGTGAATTTTACAAAGCCACTGAAGAAAACCACCCTCCTGCGACTAGTACGGCCATCTATTTTCTACACATGGAATTCTCTTTGCAGTTCTGGATTTTCTTAATGGATGCTCTAACAGAGAAATGTAGCAAGAATCCATTTGGGCCAGTATCCAATGGCCACAGATCACTTCATCAGTCTCTTGGGCAACATAACTCAGGCATTTCTACCTCTGGTGGTTCTGTTTTCCATATCCAAACTCCTGGAACTTACTGGAGAGCATGGCGATTTGTAGTGTCATCTGAGGCTAGCATGGTCGGGATGGATAGAACAAGATGGGCTTTCTGCACGGCCCCGTCTGCTGGAGTGCCGTGGCACTCAGTGTGCAGAAGCCTCGTTTACTTACCTACCAACACCCTGGCGTCTGCTCCCCTGCTCCCCTGTGTGTGTGCCTCACGAATGCAATGCAGGGTATCTGGCCAAACTTTTCTTTTGAAAATCGTTTATCACCTTCAGCTTGTCAATTGTCTACTGCGATTTAGGTTGGGGGAGGGTGCATTTTCTTGAAAAAGTTAGAGCATTAATCAAAGCCAGCTGGAAATATTTCACGATTGAAATGCAAGCAGAGAGGGGCTCATGGAAACGAAAGTCACACTGCAGAGACCGGAAGCTGGAAAGACTGGGGAGCAAGGCTGTCTGCGTGCTTGACTATGACACACTAAGAAAGACAATTTGTATGAGAATGCTATACTACTGTCTACATGCCCACAGATGCTTTCAATTCCATGTCTTTTTCGTTCTTTCTTTTGAACTAGTGATTATCAAGTATATACGTGTGTGGTGTTTGAGTGTGTAGGAATGTGTGTGCACATGTGTGCATGTATGTGGAGTATGAGTGTGTATGAATGTGTGTGTTCAAGTGTGTGTGTATGTGTTTGTGTGTGTGCAAGACACAGGTTGATTTGGGGTGTGTGCAAGGTATAGGTTGATTTGGGGTATATTCAAGGCACAGGTTGATTTTGGGGGTGTGCATGGCACAAGTTGATTCTGGGTGTTGTCTATGGCTCTCTACCTTAATTTTTGAGACAAGGCCCCTTGCTGAAGCTAGAGCTCACTAGTTGGCTAGCATGGCTGCCAGTGAGTCCCTAGGGTCCCCTAGTGATCCTTCTGTCTTTGCCACCCAAAACTGGAATTACAGACACCCCCCTACACCATGCCCAGTTTTTTTTTTTTTTTTTAATGTGCATGCTGGCATCCAACTCAAGTACTCTTGCTTGAATGACCAGCACTTTACTCCCTGGGCCACATCTCCAGCCGGATTAATTAGTTATGAGACACTCTACACTATCACTTCATTCCATGACCCATGAGCTGTTGACTGAAAACCACGGGAGAGGGGTTACAATTAGCCCCGGGATGCTGCTCTGGGTGTGGCTTTCGGTCTGATTACTGACAGCATTTACCTCTTCCTTTTTGAGGGCAGGCTTGTCGTCTTGGGATTTTTGTCTTTGAGCTTGTCCTTTGGCTCCCTTTTCTTCCTCCTTTTCCTTGTCAAGAATGGTGAAGGTCACTCAGGTGAACAGAAGCCCTTGCTAGCTTGCAAGAGTGAGAGGGTGCTCGGATCACTCCGCGTGGACTGTGATGTCTCTGTGGCTGTCTTAATGCCATGCTCAGACCCCTTGGTGCCAGTGGTACCTGGTGCTAGTGGTCCTATCCGCGTGTGTGGTATGTCCCACCCCACCTTATTTTATTTTCTCCTGCGCCTCCCATTGTGCTCACTGAAATCTGACATGGCACTGTGTTCCAGGTGTGTGTACAGCCTGCCCGTGACCTTCTCAATTACAACCGTGTGCATGAGCCCTTGGTAGGGAAGCAGGGGTGGAAAACACATCAGCACACTGCAGTGACGGAGGGTTCACTCTGCAAAGGTGAACGTGCAAGCATTTCTGTTTTCTTTCATAGCTCTTAGAAGGGGTTGTAAATGCAGTCTTGCAGATAGAGAAGAAAAAAAGACTCCCCAAAGTTTTATATTTTACATTTCCCGACCCAACGACTATTCCTATCCCTCCCAGAGCCACATGAACTTGGGCTGCCCTCATGGCAAACAGGAGCAAACTGCATGTTCCTAACTGTCCATCAGTTGTTATCTAGCACTTCCCCCGCTGAATGACTTCCTGCAAGTCTACATTAAACCCGGGTCTACATGACGGCAAGTCAGGCTTTTGAAGGTATTTTTTTTTGGGGGGGGGGAAGAGGTTCCAACAGTCTCCTTTCCCTCCTTTATGCCAGCTGACTTCAAAGGATATTTTTGTCTTGCTAATATTAAATGTCGGAACTTAATTCTTTATTAACTCCCACCCCTAATTTTATAATTAAAAAAAATTGCTATCAAACGCCAGAGTGAGGTGAGAAGTATAGGCCTCTTGCCTCATGTACACCCAGGAAAGACATCAGAAAGAGGCGGTTCAGATGCAGACGCAGAGACAAGCCAACACAGCCCTACCACATTCATCATCTTGGGTTAATTCATTTTTTTTTATATAGCCATAACACCCAAGCACAGAGCAATTAATTTCTCATTAATAAATGGTTGTCCTATGAATTTGGCTAATTACATACTTAGCCATAGTTGGATTGCTTCAGGCTTGGGTATTGCTATGGCCTGGAAAAAAAAAATGAACAGCTTGCCAAATGATCAAGCACGTGAGGTGATGTGCACGAGGCCTCAGCCCCCAGTTTGGTGCGCATTGCATGGCTCCTGAGACCCTGGCATCACACAGTAGGTGCCCAGGCATCACACAGTGGGTGCCCAGGCATCACACAGTGGGTGCACAGTGCTTACTGTACCTGCTTCTTTAGGACAGCTGTCTGGAGTCTGTCTTCTTGGGCTTTCCTTTCGTTCACTCCTTTCCTTTCTGCTTTCTCCACTCCCTTCTCCCCCTTGTCCTTGGTTTCTTGCTCCTCCAGCTGCTTTTGTCGCCTCTGCTCTTCTATCCTAGCCTTCTCCTCCTCCGCCGCCCTGGCCCTCTGCTGCTCCTCAGCCCTTGCCCGCTCCTCTGCCTCCCTCCTTTCCCTTTCTTCCGCAGCAGCCTTTTGCTCAGCTTCAACTCTTGCCCTCTCCTCTGCTAGCTTCCTGTCCTGCTCAGCCTGGGCTCTTTCTCTTTCTTCCGCTTCCAACCTCAGCCTCTCTGCCTCGGCTCTCTCTCTTTCTTCCTCCTCCATCCTTTGCCGACGGGCTATCTCCTCTGGGTCCTGTTCCCCCTCCCCCTCTATTTTGGACTCTTCTGCACTGACTTGCCCATTTTCCAATACCATTACCACGGCTTCCTCTTGGGGTTCTGGTGTTTTCTCTTCTACCGTCTTCTCTACCTGATTTTCGCCAAGGCTCCCTCCCTTCAGCTTCTCTTCCTCCTCCTCCTGTTCTTCTTTCTTTTTGTCTTCAGCATCCTGATAGCTGTTCTTCTGGTAGGACTTGGTGACGACTTCTGTTTCCTCCACCTCATATCGTCCTGGGCGACTCTCTCTTTTTTCTTCCTTCTCTGCTGTTTCATTTTCTGCCATGTCATTTTGCATTCTTCTGCTTGGGACGGAGAGACTGGCATCTGTGATAGTTGGATCAAACTCCTTCTGACGCTCGAGGGCTTCCTGGAGGCGTTTTTGACGTCTCTCTTCTCGCCTAGCCAGGCGCTCCAGTAAGGCAGCCTCCTCATCACCTTCTACCTGAGTGTTCGTGGTGGCTGGCTTAGACTCTTCATCAGGGACACTGGATGACAGAAGGAACAACACCAAAGACAGCTTGTTGGTTAACCAGTCATCCCATAACCAGAGCAGAGCTAGCAGTATCCAGCTCACATGCCCCTAGATGTTACCACTCTATGCCTGCTTGTCTGGCTTCCAACTGCACCTAACCAAGTCTTTCTCAGGTCACTGTGTCTCCTCAACCTGCTGTAGGAGCTTTGAGTATTAATGTCATCCAACAAAAGCTAAGGAGTGTCATCATATAAACACTTCAGTCTTTCTCTGTTTTGAAGGATAATTCTACAGTCATGGCTCTTACCAGAGTTATGTTCCAGATAACCACAGTGGCCACTTATGCCAAAAAGCAACCTTCACTTAGTTGCCTTGCCCGCCCTGGCTCACTTACCTACAGCCCTACCATTTTTCCTTGGATTACCTTACAAACTATTTGTGCTTAAACTGTGATTTCAGAATCTGGGTCACTGTGGATCCCAAGTATGACAAGGCTCAAATCAGAATAATGAGTGAATTCTGTGAGCATCATGGTTTCATATTCACGCCACCTAGGCATTCCTGATCTGGATTGGTGGGACCTGAGGTATTTAGAGGAGGAAGAGTATGTACAGTGTGGAGATTTGACATTTATGCCAGCAGTCTTCACTTGGGAGACATCTAAATGTCCTCCACAATTCATAGGGTAATGATTGCCAGTCAAGGATGGCATTTTCTACCCTCTGCCCTTCTTTGTACTTAGACAGGACCAGGTGACCAATGAAATGTGAACATAAATGATGTGTGCAGACCAAAGCAATTGAACAAGTGTATATTTTCTTTGCTTGCCAGCTCCCTTGGTGTTCAGCAGGCTCTGGATCCTTATGGGGTAACAGAGTCATGGGGGAAAGAAAGACAGATGGATCCCAGGACTCACTAACCAGCCAGTCTAGCTGAATCAGTGAACTCCAGGTTGGGTGAAAGACCCTGTCTTCAAAAAAAAAGTGGACATCCAGGTGTGGTGGTGCACACCTTTAATCCCAGCATTTGGAAGACAGGGGCAGATGTATCACTGTGAGTTTGAGGCCTACCTGGTTTACATAGTAAGTTCCAGGACAGCAAGGGATACACAGTGAGATCCTGTTATTGTTTGTTTTTGCTCTTTTGGGGGGCCTGCCATCTAGCTCCCATATGAATCACACACAGAGGCTTATTCTTACTTATAAATGCCGGACCTTGGCTTGACTTGTTGCTTGCCAGCTTTCCTTAACTTAAATTATCCCATCTACCTTTTGCCTTTGGCTTTTCCCATTCTCTTACTTCTGTAAATCTTACTCTTACTCAGTGGCTTGCTGTGTAGCTGCGTGGCTGGCCCCTGGAGTCCTCCTCCTTCTCTGGCTACTTTCTCTTTTCCTCCCAGATTTCTCCTTCTGTTTATCCTCTCTGCTTACCAGCCCCACCTATTTCTCTCTCCTGCCTCACTATTGACCGTTCAGCTCTTTATTAGACCATCAGGTGTTTTAGACAGGCACAGTAACACAGCTTCACATAGTTAAACAAATGCAACACAAAAAAAAGTAACACACCTTAAAATAATATTCTACAACACCTGGTCTCAAACAAATAATAATAAAAAAAATGAAAGTATTAAAATAAAAATAAGGTGGAAAGCACCTGATCTAGTAAACAAGAATTTACACAATGCATTAGTACACTGTGTTAAAATACTGAAATTGCTATAGCAACATTACCATAACTAATCGAGCTGATCTAACTTCTTTGTCTAGGTTTCCAAGAATAAAGAACTTTTTCTCCTTCTTTCCAGTTGGTAAAGACTAGCTAAATCCAATGTTTACTTAAAAAGAAAAGAAATGTAAAATCCAAACTGTAGCATGTCTATCATCTCCTCACTCTTCCAGTGCTGGACACTGCCCAGACCAAGGGCGTTGGCTACTCCTGGCTGGAATTACCAGTCATGTGAGACCAGAACTGTGACCAGAGCTGGAAGCATATGTCTTGCAATGTTTAGAAACTCCATCAAATTTCATGGTTCATACCAAACTTGGCTCTTCTGATGTTCAAGTTCACTTGGTTTTGGAAAAATACATTTCATATTTAACAACAAAATATGGCCAAGGAAATCCTAGATTTTAAGCCTTTTGGCCTCTGCTGTTGCTGCGGGACACTGTCTCTGTGAATTAGTCACATATGGATGACATGTCCACAGAAATACAAAGAACTGGGAGTTCAAGGGAAAAGGTCTATGTACAGGATGCTTGGATCAACTGAGTTCTGATGTTTTAAAAAGGTACCACAAATTCCAAAGTGCTATCCTGACAAAAATACTGTTAAGAAATCAACAGATTCTACTGAGCCTTTCTTTGCTTTTTTTTTTTTTTAAAGATCATGGTAACAATCATCAGCAGATGGTTAAGTGCCAGTTAGAGCTGTTTAGCCCCAAGAAGGGACTTTATACTTGTAGATAATTAATAGGTCTGCAAGAAATCACATGTTCAGACCTCAATATATTTCATTTAAAAAAAAAACAACTATTTTTTTAGTTCTTTTGATACATGTAGCCCAGGCTAGCCTTGCACTCACTAAAAAGTCAAGTTGGCCATGAACTCCTTCCTGCTCCTGCTTCGACCTTTTGAATGCTAGGATGATAAGCGTGCACCATCATGCTTGGCAAAAGAATCTGCAAATTTAGGTAGTCTCATAAAATGGCTAATAATAAAATTAAAGCAGAAATGAAATGTAAGTAGAAACAAGACCTATGTATGGGCTGTTGATTTTTTTTATTGAGCCGAAGCTCAAACCCTTACATGCTAGACCTGCACAGCACTGTTATCTCGGTCCAGAAGCAAGGTTTTCAGAAGCAAGCAGAACAAAACAATCAGTTGTAACCTTTAAAACCATTGCTGAACACTCACTGATAACCAGATTCAGGAAAGGCCTCAAAATGTCATTTTGAAAACTATTTTGCCCCCTTTCTTCAGCTTGGAAACAAAAAAGGCAGCGAATGGCCCTTCTGTCCCCTTTCTGTGAGACTCTGCCAAGAGCACACTGTATCATGGACTTACTGTGTGCAGGGCACTGGGTGTTTTACACATACTCTCATCTTTCTGCAGCTGAGCAATAGTCTTCAAAGGGAGCTATGGTTGTACTTAGTACAGTGAAGGAACACACTTTGTTAAGTTGGTATTCAAAGAAAGGGAGTGAAACCCAGTGATCATACCTGCCTCTCCATTCTCTTGACAACACTTCCTCCCCAATTCCAAACTAATCACCAAAGACCAAGGTTGCTACCTTCTACCTAAACATTAAATTTCTTGTTAAACTTGTCTTGCGCTTCAGCATTTGCAAGACCACTCCGGGAAATGAGCCGAAGAGGCCATGACACTTCCCTTGAAGATTTTTTTTTTTTAAATAGACCAAGTTAATGGAGCTATTAGCAACCTCCTCTGAACATACACTAAGTAAAAGAAAGCAAAACCACATATAACCTGGGCTACACAGTGAGTTCCAGCTTGGGATACCCAATCAGACCCATCTCAACACAACCAAAACCAACCAACCAAACAATCATGGTTGAGTTGGTCTGAGAAGGCAATGATTTGCTAGCAAATTCCATTCAACAGGGCAGGCTAAGACCCACGCAGAGATGCCCCACTGAGAAGAGGACAGTACCTGTTCTGGGCATGGGCTTCCACCTGGTCTGTCACCTGTCCCAAGGACTCTTCCTCCTGCTTCTGACGCAGCCTTTCCTGCCGGGCTCGGCGGCGCCGTTCCCTGGCGGCCTCTTCCTCGTCATCATCATTCCTCTGATAGGCGATTCTGCAACATCATAAAGACAGGGTCCTGAGCACGCCAGCTGACAAATGTTGTCAGTAATGTCCTGACCCAGCAGCCTTGAATGGCTACTAATGAGCCAGGTTCTAAAAGTATGGTCCACATTCTCAAGTTTGGAAACCCAACCCGTTTGTTTTCCAACGTTTTAGTATTTGAAAAGCACTAAGCCAATGACTCAGGGAATGATTTACATTGATCAAACAAACCAGAACATCTACACCAAAGCAGGCTGCCTTTAGAGGCTGTAGGTTAGCATATTTGGACTTCCATGTTGAGCTGATTGTCACATGCAAGATTTAGAGGTGGAAAGAGCAAGTACTGAACCCAAATAATCAACACATGTATTAAAAAGGACTCAGTGTATTGTGTAAACTAGACGCAGCACTGTCACAAAGATTAGAAAGGAATCCGGTTACGATTACTATTAAACCAAGACTCTGCTGCTAATAAGCCCAAGTTGTTCCCTAAAACTGAGGACACTGAACATCTTCTTTGGTCAGATTTTGTTATTCCAGGGTGTGTGTATCATTGACCATTGGTAGGTGGCTTCACAGTGTGTGCATTGTGAGAGCATGTCAACCACCTTTTGTTCACTAAAACATGTATTCGTTCTTGCTTCATGAAAACGTCTTGTTCACTAAACCATGTATTATATCCCACCACCTGCATGCTGTGCTGTGTGTGCATGTGTGTTCGCATGTGTATATGTGTGCACATACACATGTGTGCACATGTCTGTGGAGGCCCTGAGGCTGATGTTAGGAATGTTTCTTGATTGCTTTCCACCTGTTTGTTGAAGCAGGGAGTCTGCTGATGGCCAGCTAGCTAACTTGCTCCAGGTTGGAATCACAGGTGGGCCACCCCACCTGTACTTATGTAGGATCTGAACCTCGGTCCTCCTTATTCGGTGGGAGCTTTAACCCCTGAGCAATCTCCTCAACCCCAAAGCAAGAGATGTCCCTAAGTGGCACAAACTTTTAATTTGTATATAATTATAAAGATAAATTCATTTTCCAATGAAAGAAAACCAAATACCAGAACCCTATGTGAACAGTCCATCACATGTGACTGGTGGTAGATTGTTCATTTTAGATCTACAAACCAGGCATGTTTGGCCTTAGATCCAGTACTTCTATCTGTGTCCTCTTTTTACTTCAATAATACTATGAATGTTAAAACTTCTGAAGGTTTGTTTATTTGCTTTTTGTTACTTCAGAAAAATCTGACTTCATACTCACTAAAATCTGCTAGTGTGTCAAATGTCAATATAAATAAAGTATGTATATGTTCCATCTATATATCTACTATGTATTCTATTAAACTGACTGGTAATTTTCCACAAATATGGAGGGAAGAGTAACATGGTAGAATTAATGTATGACTAAATTAATAGTCAGAAAACCTGGTTTTAAGACTGATCTCTTAGGAATATGTGGCCCTTTGATCAACCTGTCCTAAGTTTCCTTGTCCCTCAGAGTGGCAATCAATTAGAAATAATGGCTGTTACAATAGAGCGCGGTAAAGTGTGGCGTCTTCTTGTTTGTTGTTAGTAGAGTTCAGCTAAGGAGCGGCCTTGTGAGCAAAGATGAGTTTGGTTTTAGACGTGTTGAGTGTGAAGGGACAACATGACATGATACAAATGTTCCCTTCTAATTCAGGTATGATGCAGGAGAGAGCCCTTCCCAGTGGCTCGGCTTCCTGATTCTTGGTCTACTATTTCCTTGGCTTATTTCTCAGTAGACCGCTCCAAACATAGCGGAGAGAAGAGTACTTAACAACTGCTCCTCAAGCTAATTAAAGAGAAATTTTTTATTTGGTCTCTCCATCTCAGGATCAGTCATGAAAGCACTGTCTGTTTTGAAGCCTTCTTTTGAGACGAGCAGGAGCTGTGAAAGGTGCATACAGGGCATCTCCATGCTAAAAGCAAAACTCTCCCTCTTGCAAGCCATCAGATTCAAGCCAGAGTTTTCCAGGATATTTGAGATGCCACTCTCTTTCTCCTACCGACTCTGAAAGCTTCCTAGGTGCTGACAGCATTTAGCTGGGAGATAAACTTGTTTTGTTTCCATGGCCGGGTCATGACCAGCCTTCCATCCTCTTGTATTTCTCATTGGAGGAGTGACCTGAGCAAATGGACCATCTCCACTGTCTCTTCTAATTTTTCCTGCTTATTGAAACTGAAGATCTGTGGGGAACCCACTCGCTGCTTATAGCCCTTCTTCTGGGACACAGGTACCGGAGATTGCTTGGGAACAATCTTTTACTGATGCTAATAAAATGAGGAATTAAAGTTGTTTACCACGTAAAAACAACAACAGAAGCACCGTCATGGTTTCAGGCTATTTTCAATCCTAACGGGCCCAGTCTCTGGATGAAGAACGCATCAGGTAGGACAAGGCAGGTGGTACACTCGGTAAACATCTGCCACACAAGTGTAAGCACTGGTGTTACAATCCTCAGCACCATGTAAATACTAAGACAGGGGAATGCCCAGAGCAAGCTAACTAGAATAGCTGGATCAGTGAGCTCTAAGTTCAATGGAGAGACCCTGCCTCAGTTTACAAGGTGGAGAGTGACTGAAGAAAACACTCGACATCAATCTGGTCTCCTTGTACACACAAACCTATACACACATGAGCACACATGCGCGCGCGTGCACGCGTGTGCACACACACACACACACACACACACACACACACACACACACACACACACAAAGCCAAAAAAGAACGTATCAGCTGACTTTATAAGTAAAACTGTGTGGATGACAAACTCCTCAACTGTGAGACTCCTACACTGGCCCTCAGACAGCCAAGTAATTTATGGCTTCTAAAATTAGCCTGTCTTTTATACTTCCACCACTGATTTATTTCTTCTTCTCTTTTCTTTTTTTGGGGGGGGCAGCTTGGGGGTTCAGAGATAGTGACTCTGACTGCCCTAGAACTCACTCTGTAGACCAGACTGGCCTCAAACTCAACACAGATCCAACTGCTTTTGATTCCCAAGTGCTGGGATTAAAGGTATGTGCTATAACACCCAGCTAGGATTTTTTTTTTTTCTTATTGAAAAAAAATCAAGTGGTTTGCTCTTCTGATTCTGAAAGTAATGGACTCTTGTGTTTTAAAACTAGGCTGTTACCTAATGTATAAAAATAAAAGTGAAAATCAACTGCTTAGGATCATGTCAACTAAGCTCTGACATGATGCAAATTCGATGTATTCTATACATATGTTCTTGGGTATGGAAATAATACATTTTTAATAAAGTAGGACCATGTAGTATGTATTATTTCATGAACAGTTCCTTTAATTAAACTTAGTCATGGCTACATTTTAACACATTAACAAACTACGTCAATGAAAACAGTATTTTATATCTACATACACCAGATGGTAATTATGTAGATATACTATACCCTAATATTTTTCCTGCTGGTTATTAAATGTTTCTCTAACTTTATGCCCCTATAAACAGTGGTACAAGGACTTCAAAACTTCTCAGAAGTTAGAAGTTCTGTGTTTTTGAAGTTGAAGACACTTTCTTTGGAGGCTTTTGAAGCACTGATAAACTGGCCTCCAGACAGTTAACATAGTTCCAGTGATATGTGGGCATGCCCACTTCACCATGACACAGAATTTGTCCAAAAAGACAGACAAGGACGAGGATCCTTACTCCATCTGCAATAGCAGTAACTCTGTTCTCCATTAAAGACAGAGTGTTAGCAGCTCTGATTTTCCACACATCAGCCTTAACCTTGTTTGAAATGCTGCTGACTGAGAAAATTCCTATCTAACCAGATGGTCAGAGAGGCATACCAACCCATTTTTACTTCCATGAAATTTCAGCAGATTCCAGTATTAGCCAATCCACTGTGTCCACGGCACACAAGCAACCACCTTTCCCAGATGATATGGGAGCCCTGTGGGATCCTGAGGTCCTCTGAACCAACTGAGAAGGACTCAACTACATTTTATACAGTTTTAATCAAATGCATGTCATTGTGACTTTTAAAAAACTGGCAAGCCCCAAGTCCACCAAGCAACACTCTATTAAATAAAACATCTGGGGGTCCATGAGCTCCTGAGCCATGCTGGCTGTGAGAGGGTTTACAATGGAGTGTTGTGCTTTGTTTCTTGGCAACTGCCTCTGCTCATCTCTCGTCACAAACACCTGGAGAGTTGATGGACCTTTCCAGTGGAAGGTCAGTGTTGCTGAGAGCAAAATGACTCAGCAGATATTTGGGACAAAGGGAGGGAATCTATCACGTACTCGAATGTAATACTTACAAACTAGTGCAAACAATCCCCAAAGCTCACAATAATTACATGCTACTTGACATGTGTGCCCATAGCATGAAAAAGTAAAGGGCTGGTGTTTCTTTCATTCTCAGAACCATTGCTTAAAGGCCCTGCTGTCAGGGCCTTGATAAGAAAACTAAGACAACCACGCCAGGAAAACTCTTTCATAATGCCTGGCTGTTCCAAGAGTCTCTAACACCGGAACTTTGCTACCTTCTGTATATGACCTTGTTAAATTCCGGGCTTTTTCAGATTGATAGGTTCAAACAAATAAAATCATTGCAAATACAATGAGCAGGGAAATCATCGAGGATTCAGCTTCTTTGTATCAGTCCATCAAGAACTAAATCTACACCAGACGAGAGAAAGGGACCATAGAGCTGGCTTCAGCAACATACTCTCTGTCTTCTTGCTCCTGTGTTTCCTCCTTCCATAGTCACCATTGACTTTTGCTCATGACTTGCACAACATGGAGGAAATTCTTATCACAGTATCTACAGGATAGTCTGGGTATAGTGCTACACATTGTACTCCCAGGTACTTGGGAGGCTGAGGTGGTATTATACAATCAAGGCCAGTCCAAGCAACCAATTCAGATGCGGTCTTGAAATAAAAATTGAAGAATAATGGCTAGGGATATAGCTCAGTGGTAGAGTGCTTAACCTAGCATATGTAAGGCTGTAGGTT